TTTTTAAATCGATACAAAGAAGTGAAAGATCGATATTATATTGGGCAGCCGAATATCACGATATATCGCAAAAACGATTTTTTTTCCCCCACACCCCTACTGCTACTAGGGATGTTCCGATCCGATATTTTCATGCTGATGATAAAACGCTCTGCTTCTGTTAAGCGTTTCTGAAAATCGTTGGTTCATTTTATGTGGGTGAGTTGTTTTCATTCCTTTCAGGTTTTCTGTTCCCTGTTTTAACCTTTTCCGACATTCAACAGTATAAAATAAGTGCTAAAAGCTGGTATGATTCATGCTAATAATAACGGTGTCAGCCAATTTTGGTGTTGAATCACAAATGTAAAAATTGAATAGGAACATGCCCACCTGCTACATTGTCCAACTGCCCTCCAGTTTAGCATTTATGCACTTTTTTTCTCGCTCTGTTTTTTTCCTTATAGTAACTACATCTTGCCTTGCCCTCTGTTTAACCCTGATACTCTGCTGGAGGGGGGGGGGTGTCAGCTGCCAACAACTTGATGTTCTGCTTTTATAGATGACAAATTTAGCCCTGTCTTTTTAATGTTAAACTTCATTTCTCTTCTGGTCTTTGGCTGAGGTTTTACAGCACTGTTCTTTTTTTAATCGCATATAATTGAAAACTGTCTCAGTTCACCTGTTTTTCTCTCCTAAATGAAGCCCTAAAGCTTTTGATTTATGATTTTGATAAATTCAAATTATGAAAAAAAAACTTTTCCATCAGAGGAGATTGTCAACTTTGCAAACGTCTGCTTGCTAGAAAGTAGCTAAGGTTGGTTCCGCCTGGCGTTCAGGTGGCGCAGTGGTTAGCGGCACGACCCATGTATGGAGGCCTTAGTCCTGGACGCGGCCGACCCCGGTTTAATCCGACCTGTGGTCCTTTGCTGCAAGTCTCTTCCCCTCTCTTATACCTTTCCTGTCAGCCCACTGTCAGAAAAACGAGTGCTGTAAAAACAACAAAAAAATTGTTGGTTCCTTCTTACCAGAAACTGCAGGCGCTGTCTTTCTGACTCCGGTGTGAACTCTGCTGACATAGGGATGACTTCCCCAGCTCGTACAATGATTGCTCTGAGGGAGAGGGGCAAAGTACTGTTTAATTAAGCTGACATGGTTTGATGACATGCAAACAACAATAAATACATGCAGCATGTGGCAAACTCATTTTGCTTCATCCAACTGTGCGAGTCACACCTGCTGTCCCCTGCGTTCCCAACGTACAGCTTCCCTTGCAAACAGGCGACCATTAGAGCGGTGCATCCGCCCGAGATGTTGAACGATGCCTTCTCTTTCTCGATCTGCATATCCTGAGACATGATAAAATACACATGATGTAGGCCAAAAGCCTGACCCAATCATTTGTCTCCTGTCGGCACAGCTTTCATATATATATATATATATATATATATATATATATATATATATATATATATATATATATATATATATATATATATATATAAAAATTGCAGGTGTATAACTATGCTGGCTATAGATGGATAAATGGAATAAAACCCTTATCCGATTCTAAACTTTTCCAGACTGTATAATAATCCAGTTCATGCTTGAAATCTGCCATGAAGTCTTTATTAATAGCGGCAGAGTGAGTTCATTTATCAGAGGTACTTTCAGCCAAAACCAAAGACCTAAAGGGAAGGTTTACAGGATCTGCTGGTTATTCCAGCAGCTAATTAGCCCCAATTTATATGGCGCTAATTAACCTGAAAATAATTTAAAGAAAACCATGCCATCAGTCCATTAAGTAGATGAATAATTGCTCTTTAACTCAGTTAGTCAAAGCACCAACATACTATATATCTGAGCCCAGCTACCTTTTTTTGGCTTATCTAACCCTTTCATACAATGTCAGTCTTCTCTGACATCTTAATAATTTCCAAACAGAAGCCGTAAGCTGTTCCTGGAATATAAATTGGGCCCCCAGGCATTTCTTTCCCATCTCTATGTCTCTATCAACAGGCTGGTTGGAAATCCCATGAGACTAGATGAGTCTTTTGAAAGCGCATTGCCCTCTGCACCTCCATCCAGATGAGGTGATTAGGTGTTGCAGTAAAAGAATGTTCCCCTGGACAGGTGGGCATACAGGCAGTCTGAGTGTTACTGGGTGTATTTCTCTCAGTCTTCCCTCCTGACAATCACTGCCAGGTACAGGTCAAGAGGATATGGTGGAGCATTAGGCGGAGGGGGAACTAATGTGTCCCTCAGACTCTATGAATTATGAATCCACAGTCAGCCATGCATATTTATCTGCAGCGCCTTTGGCTGCAGGCGAGGCTTTAATAATGAAAATGCCAGCACAAACATCGACACCTTCCTCCCCACAGGTTCAGGCAGGAACGACCTGACAACAAAGATAAATAACCAGAGGGCAGAGATACGTCCACTGTTTACATACGGCTAAATGCCTTCATTATTTCTGAGGGAAAAATCCCACAAAGGACTCCTACATTAAACCTACATGGCTGAGAACGAAAAAAAAACAACCTAATACCGGTAATACTAATACAGGAATGAAGCACGGCAATAAACAATGTTGTCATTTATATTTAATTAAAACCATTTCTTGGTTTTAATTGTTATTCCTATGAAAACAAAATGGTCAAAATATGATTTATTCCACTAGAAAGGTAAGCATTGGATTCGTCACAGTAAGGATACTAGAAACAGTACAAACAGAAGCCTGCAAAGATATTTATACCTCACAGTTTTGTATTACAGCACAAGCTGTGTTAACATGCAAAGATGTGAAAGAAACTGTTTTAGTCAGATGAGGCAATATTTCAGCGTTCTGTTCAACAGACAAAATGTGGGATTGACAGAAAACCCACACTGCTCACCGTCTTGAACACATCATCTGTGCTCTTTAACACTAAATATATACGCTTATTTTTGAAGCCGATATACTTTATCTTTCTCCATTTAAATGACAGAGCTGAAACCATGATAAGGATGATAAAAACAAACATTAACAATGAATAGCAAAGCATGCACCTAACGTGATCTTAAAACATGGCTGCTGAATTCATCAGCAAATTAAACAAAGCTGGTCGATGAATCGGTCCACCTCTACAGGAGGTGCTTTATATCTGCCACCTTATGCCATTCAAAACAACTGTTTCACTGTGGAAAAGTTGACCTAATACTAGGCCCTGGTGTGAGAGACACCTACTGGCCACAGAAGGTCACTGCGGCGTATGTAGACAAACTGGCAGACTTGATATTCTCATATCACTATGACAGGCTTGATTTAATATTCCAGGGAGATATTGGCCAGATACACTTTACGTTGAATATAAAGTTCTGATAATGACTCAATGAGCTCAACTCTTTTCTTATGATTAATTTAATCACAAAGGTGGGATTTTCTTAAAATGTTTAGACATTTTGCAGAAGCTTGAAAGCTTATGTTATTTGCAAAGCTTCCAGTGAACTTTGCAAGGAAATCAAAAAATCTATGAGCCCTAAAAATCAGGAAATGGGAAGAAATAAGTCATGGAACAGCGAGGGGCAGAGGAGGAGGCTGTCAGGAAATGATGGAAAACCCTGACGAAAAACGGTTGTGGCAGGTAATTAACCAAATTAATCATTTTTCACTAATTAGTCAAAGCTGAGACATAACACAGGCAAGTGAGACAGCCCTCAGGAAAGTGGTTTGGAAAACTGGTTAACACTGGATTATTTAAAGCCGCTAAAATAACATCCAGTCATAGCCAACCTCAACATAAACTCCAGATAAAGTGCTGTACTTCTGACAGCAGATGGTGTTCACACCATCCTAAATATGCAAACTTTCAGCTATTGCATTTGGATTTAATGTGACAGAAAGCAGAAATCAGTGCCAACTTTTAAAGTGGATGATTAAGAAAACATTTAAAAGGTCAAATCTGAAAAACCTGCCATACCTTAATATTCGACCCCTTTATTTTGACACCCCTTAAAAAACGCACAACATAGTCACAATCTTGCTCTTCATTCATTGTCTATTTACTGTTAATTAAAAAGGTGACCTAAATGGGTTTAAAATGCTGCAGGTAAATTCAGTACCTCTCCACTGTTTTTCGGGTTTTTCCTCAGGTCTCCTCCCAGTTGATGTGCTTGGAAAACCTCAAAACAGAAGCTGGACAAAAACCAGCAAAACCATGTGAACCTGCATGATGTGCATGAAGGAAAACAATGATCGTCACCCGTCCCCATGGTGAAGCATGAGGGTGGCAGCATGATACTGTAGAGTCTCTTAGTCAGAGACAGAAGAGTTGATCAGAAATGATGGGAACATGGGTGGAGCGGCTATATTTAATCAGAAATTCATGGCGGGACTCAACTTTTCAACAAACTTTCTCTGTTTTTTTTCTTGTTTTTTTTTTTTGTTTTTTTTAATGTGCTGGAGCTTTTCTGCTGAACAGAAACAAGCAAACATTTTAATCCGTAAATGTGCAAAGCTGGTACCGAAAAACCTGCGGCTGACATGCTCTGACAGAAAGTTTAACAGCAATGTTCATAACTATGGAGGTCCAATCCTGCCATAATCAAAAATACATACAGAAATATAAAATTGCCTGAAAACTAGCTAATAATATGAATTGTGAGCCATTAAATGTGACAAAATAATAACAAAGATAAGATATTTCTTCAACAATTGATCAATTATTCAAATAAAATATATATTTTAACCTCCTCTTTTATTATGAAATTTCTTCTTTTTTTTACTCGTTTATTGTATTTATTGTTTCAGAAGTATCTTGCTTTTATTACTTTGTCACATTTAAAGGTTAACAAATTCATATTTTTAGCTACTTTTTCAAGCAATCTTATAAGGGAAGTGGTGGCCTAGTGGTTAGGGCATAGGGCTTTGAATCCTGGGATTTGAAGTTTGATCCCCCACTCCCACAGACTGCCACTCTGGGTCCCTGAGCAAGACCCTTAACCCCACACTGCTCCCCGGGCGCCGTACAATGGCAGCCCACTGCTCCCCAAGGGGATGGGTTAAATGCAGAGATAAATTTCTCCAATGTGAGATCAATAATGTTCAATTTATTTATCAAATCCTTTATTTATTTCTATATGTATTTTTAATTATGGCAGGATTGGTCCTCCACAGTTTACTGCCTGCTAGAATTGAGGACAGAAAAGAATTTGAACAATTCCATTTTCTGTTTACTTCAAGTTTTTTAAAGATGCCACATTTAATCTTGTTTTTTTACTGGAGCCCCTAGAACCTCAAACATGTTTCTGTGCCACACAACTAACTTCCTAACAGCCTGATTAAAGTTGAGAGGATTTATGGGGCTATGAGGAAAGCAAAAAATGCAATGCAAGAGTTTTTGTTCCAAGAAAGTTAGGGGTATAAATAACTGTATGGAAATGGTGTGTGAAATTTAAATGTTAAGGTTAGGAACTAAGTTATCAGTGACCACAGAGAGGGAAAAAAAAGACTTTGAAGAGGACACTGGAAACAGCCTAAATGTTCAAAATCTGTATATATTGTTTTCTCAAACTATCATATTTCTGTGACATAAGATGTTAAAATACGACTGTGACAATGAAACAGTACAGATAACTGCATCTTGAACAAAGACATTATAAATTACAAAACAGAAACAAATCCATCAACACGGCTTTGACTAAATTTATTTATCATTAATAGGTCTAATATTTGCATAAACTCTGACTG